TCCCCCCCCCACCCCAGTGCTGTTGGAAGTTGTCCAGTACAAAGTAACAGTTGAATTGCACACGTCAGGCTGAGCTTTGAACCCAGCTTTCGCAATGCAGCCCAAACTCACAGCAGTCAGGGAGAAGGTTTGGTAGGAGGCAAAGGCTAGACCATACTTCTTGCAGGACGAACGGTAAGGATCAAACTATTTCTGGACTACATCGAGTAAGTACAAATGGGAGAAGAGGCATCACCAGCACACCCAGCTCAAGGATACCTGTCTCCTAACAGTAAAGCAAACTGCTGAATCACTGTGCAGCCATGATAACAATGTGGTGAGATGTTCTGCTGCTTTTCTGCCATTTTCTGTTAAGCAGCTTTCCCCTCCTGATGTCTTCAGGTAAAGCCCAAATGGGAACTGTCAATGAGACAAAACCCACAGATACAGGAACCCACAAAACAAGCAATACTGCCAGGCCCTCCTTGTGAATTAACTAATAGTATCATGTAGAACAGAGACTATGAGTAGTTTTATGCTCTTTAAGACTCCTTGTTGGGAAAACAACACAGAAGCTGCCAGAAGGTACCAAGAAATAGTTCAGCAGATCCACGACCATGACACAACAAAACTACGATCAGGAAGGTCATCTTCACTGACACATGCTTAGCCTGATGTGTTTTTGTGGCATTGCCAAAGGATCCAAAACGTATCTGCTCTGCCCAGTAAGCTAGCCTATACTAGGCTAGCCTTGACAGGACACGCATGCTAGACTCAGACCTCTTCAAGTAACCTTGAAAACTGATGCATTATTTTCAGAAGACCCTGACAAAAAAAGCCATCCTCCTCAGTGTAAAACTCAACTCCTCCTGGTTTAACCAGTTTAAGCACTGCTCCAGAGTCCATCAACGTCCTAGCATTCTCTCAGTGGCTAAAGACAGTTTGGGAGAGGTCAGGAGTAAGATATCTAGTGGCAAGGAAGGAAGACACTGTTTTCAGCTCTAAGAGCCTCGGTTGCATGGGCAATAGGCTGCTCTCAGCTACTTTTTCAAGAGCTGTAGCCAGTTTTAAGACTACCTTCCCCAGCTCTGTTGCACCACTCTTCTAGATCACGAGGCTGTTCACTCAGTCACAATGCTGGCCCACACATACAGAGAGCAGACAGCCTCACTCCTTGCAGCTGACACAGCCTATAGCCTCTCAGCTGAGCAGTCCTGTCCTGGGAGATGAAGGCTCCTGGTTATGCAAATAAAATAGAAAATTCCTGCCATCACTGGCAGCTCTAACCACAGAGGTATACAGGAAAAGTCAAAGATGCCATGAGACCCCCTTTGTCCATTTTTATTTAAGAATGGACCAATTCCAGCTCTGAATTCACTGTACACAAGTCTTAAGAAAATAAGCCTCAGACACCTGAGCAAAGAGACTTCAGAGACAGTCTCCATCTCCAGTGGTGAATATGATAGCCTCCCCTCCCTTGTGACTCGGAGTTTCTAAAACAACCCAGCCCCAACCAGCTGGCAAGCACCCTGACATTTGCAGAGTTCAGAAAGCTTATCAGAGAGACCACTTTCCACTCATCACTTCAGTAACTCATGTTCCCTTCACATTCCCTACTCATACCTCCTCAAGGTCAGATCTAAGAGGACAGATCGCCTGCAGAAGCCTGTTGTACAGGACATGCACTTCTCCAACAGTTCTCACCTAAATCCCTGGAGGGGAAATAGCATGCCTTCTCTGGCTTTTAGCTGCCTGCAGGAGTTATAGCATCCTGTGAGGTCTCAGTGTAAAGGCAGAAGAATTTTAGGAACACCATAATGGATTCCTGCTCCTATACCTTTGTCACCACACAAGAAACTCTTGTTGCATGCTGTCTGTCTGAACAGGTATATTCTCACACCACCAACAGATGGTAAGGCTAGTACTTAAGCTAATCAGAACACACCTTGGTAGAAAAACATCAGTTGCTTAGATTTGTCCCCATGCCAACGTGAGAACATGTGTCATACCAGTCCCTTAAACTGTGTTTCCTGTTGTAAAGTTACACAACAGGCCTGGGTTTCTTTCCCTGACTAAAGAGATTGAAGATGCCTGCTATTAGCCTTCATCACTTCTGCCATTAGGAAATGGCAGAATTTTGGTGCTGTTGTTGCAGCTTGCAGCATCCAAAAGCTTTTAGACTTACGTGCATATCCCAGCTGTGTGTGGGGCATTGCCAGACTGAGCGGAGCAGGGCATAGCACAGGTTCATTTTACATCTTCCTTGCTGCACACAGCAGTTGTGCACCCTCTCTGCCTGGTCTAACATGAGTGTCTGAGTACCGAAACACTCACACCGGGATTCAGGACAGAAGTCTTGAACACGTTCTAGCCCTCTGGTTTCTGTCCACCCACCACTCTGCAGTTTGAATCAGGTCTTTCCAAAGGCAGACCAGTTGCTCTGCCAGGACCACTAAAGACAAACATTAAGATGCACAATACTTCTCTGGTTTGCCTGAAGAGTAAGCTACAAGGCTACATACAACTTAGGCCTCAAAAGACCCTTCCGCTAACACTTACAGTCTGTCTTCTTCTGTAGGTGAAGTTCTTCCATAGCAGCAATCCCAGCTGTGTCCAGAAAGCCATCTTCCTTCAGCAAAGCCCTGAAGTTCCCTTTGCGCAGCAGCAGTACACAGCAGAGATTATGTAGCTGGGCATTAACTAAGGGAAAAAAAAAAAAAAAAGAAGTTGAAAGGGAAAAGCTGTGTCAGAACAGAAAAGGCAACAAGACAGGGAAAGGCAGTCTGCACTCTGTGACTCTACATAATTCTGCAGCCCACCTCAACATTGCCTTTTTGCCCCACACACTCCAGCAAAGTCTCATGGGTCTCAGTAAACTCAGATTTAAACTCACTGTCTCTTCAGAGCTTCGAGGCACAAAAGAATGCAATACCCGCGGGACAACAATTTCCTTTTTTCCTGCCCAAAAATTCCAAGAGCAAAACCAGCCCAGAACAACAACAACAAAATCACAGGCTTTGAAAGCTGACTTAGAGACCCCTCTGAATGAGACTGAACCTACAACTCAAGCCTTTTGTTTTAAAGCTTCTTTCCATATTTACTTTTATAATGGTGAAAAGCCTGCTGCCAAATTAGGAAAGCTCTTGTTCTGAAGTCCAGTCAACACCACCACTTGTAAGAGAAATTGCTATGCACTTAAAAGGCAAGAAAGAAATGCCCTTTTCCTTGAAGGAAGGTGACTAAAAATGACCCCGCAGCCATTCATATTTGGATAAAGTGAATGGAAAATTGCTACTGAGTCAGTGGTCAGGTCTTGCAACTACCTGGCCTCCAACACTGTTGTCAATTGGGTGCATTCAGTATGCACTTGAGAGTATAAGAAAGTATAAAGGGGTAAAAAACCACATTCATCTCTGGTGGCTGTTAATACTAGCAAGGTATAGGCTCAGGTACATACACACTTCCAGGAAGACTCAATCAAATAGAAAGGTGAGCTTAAAGTACGTTAGATAAAACTTAATTAAACCTTTTTTTAAGAATTAATGTGGCATAGCTTAAAATACTTTCAAGTTTAAAGCCACTTCGTATTAGGAGTAGTTTCATACTGAGTAAGCATCTACACAGGAATCTTGTTAATCCACATCGAATTAATTCTGATATATGTACTTGAATAGAGTCTGTTAACAGGCTCAGTGTTAACAGGACAGCTAGCAGCCAATGCAAACATACAGTGAGAGAACCATTCCCTCCAACATCTGTTCAACTCTAACACACATGCTTTTGATTGTAGTGACCCACATACCAGTACCCTAGCCCTATGATTCAGAGCTGCATGCCTGATCACAAACTGCATTGCAACGGTTCCCAAAAATCCACGTGTTAGGAACATAGGACATTCTCAGAAAATAGTCTGACCACTCCTGCACAGGAGTAAAAGTAGATGATAAATGGCAATTCTGAATGTGAGCCTGGAGTTAGTGAACACTTGTGGCCTTAAAGTCTCATCCAAAAGTAAATTCCATTATTACAATGGTTTGCAGATTAAAATCTGATCTCTAATAATACAGGTCTTTATTACAAAAAAAGTTTCCTCTACATGACTAACAAAAACCAGTTAAACCCATTACACTGAGTTGTACAGATAATTACACTGCAGTATCACAACAGTGCTTAGTGCCAGCACACGGAAGCAAAGAATAAGAGACGCCTACAAAACCCTACAAATTGAACCTCGTGTCAGCACGCAGGCAGCTGAGTGTACAGTCAGCATGGGCTCATTAGTTTCTGCAAGATACTGCTGTAATTCACTGACATGACCTCTACAGATATTCCTTCAGAGAGATGCTCAACTAATCTGACAGGAGAGCCTTCCTCCCCTGACCAGGGCTTCCAACTGGTTAGAGCACCCTGACACTAATGTGCCAGCTGCATGCACATCTGTCTGGTAGATAACCAATTCCCAGAGACTCCAAATTACACACTTGGCAGGCTAACTGCACATCCATAGCAGGGAAAAAAACCTCTGCCCTGAGTGGACAATCTCAGAGAGCAAACCCTGGCTGCTGAGGACTATGCATGCATGCTCATGGACCCAAAGCACACCTTAGCTTACAGGCCTGGATAACAGGGGCTTTACAGCACTTCTGAGTGTCAGCATTACTTACTAATTGCAGCTTTAAATGTGTAACCCAGAGACAAAACTAAGTAGGGAATATTACCAACCCTCCTTTGTACGCCCTTCACTGACTCGTTTCTGCTCAGGATTCAGGGGAATTGGTAACAAGGCTTTTACTCACCACACTGAGCAACCTGGATTGCTACTCATGTTCTGCATAGGCACTCTGACCACTAATTCAGTGCAAAAAAAAAAATCTTTCACAGAATACAAGAATATCTCTTTTCAAGCATTTTTCCACAAGGACACTGGTCTGTAGGTCACAGACCTCCATTTTGCTTTGCTGTGCACCCAGCATGTCACAAAACATAAGCCCTTCTGCCCAAGTCCAAGCCTGCAGCTACTGAATATTTTAGGCATACAGAAGTAGAGGACAGGAAGGGATGGCACAACCCTCTACAATCACTGGTAGTTATGCAACAGATTTTATCGTCAGAAGGCTGTTCAGAGTACCCATTCCATATTCCCCTGTCAACTCACTGCAAAAAGCTACTTTCCAATGCTCAGCTAAATACCAAAATCTGCGAGTATGAAATGCCCCAGGAAAAGTGGAGGAAAGATCCAAAGAAGAGCCAAAAGAGACCTTTTGCATTCTCATCAATGGAAATACACCCAACTCCTGTGCCTTAATACCCTGCACAGAGGCAGAGTAAAATCTGAAGCAGTCCGTGAGATGTTTGAGGTAATGACAGAGTAGCTGGTTCAATCCACATCAGTGAAAATGCAGATATTGGTCCCTTGCAATTGCCATCAGTCCACAGGATCCGGAACACAGAAATACTGCTTTGAGGAGGTTGTAGGGTTCACATTGCACTAGCAAACTGTAGTCAGATAAGGGCACATATGTGATCATTTAACACATCTCAGCTGATCAGCAGAAGCCTGTGTAGCCAGGAAGGCTCAGCTGTGGCTGTCTGCTTGTATTCCAGCTCTCTGGAGTTCAGCTAAACTTCACCAAGAGCAAAGCAAGCATTCTGACCTCCAAATACAGCCAGTTTGCCTGGGTACTGGTTTCAAATAAAGCAAAAATACAGATTTTTTTTTTTTTAAGGACTGTGTCTGAAGACTGGAAAACCTGGCCCAGACATAGGCACTACCAGCTAATTCCCTACATGAAACGAGAGGACAGGGCTTAACATTGGACTAATCACCAAGAGCACAAAACCTGAAGCGTGCCTAGTTCTTCTTCCAGCCATGCTGGGGCGACAGCTTCAGAGACATGCTCTGCCCCACTATCTGTTACAGACTGGGTAATACAGGTTTGTTGATGCCTAGAGCGGTCTTGATTTTGATCCACAGAAGCTGACATATTTGGTTCACAGCTGATACAAGTTAACTAGGTCCACTTGAATTACAAATGCAACAGCAGATGCTCTGCAAACTAAGAATCTTAGGAAAGTGGGTCAAACCCCTTCAGACAGTCTTCCAGCTGACAACAGTCAAGAATTGTAAGCCAGAGATGCAGAAAACTCACAGGCCAAACACTTCTAGTTCCACTGGAGCTGGAGTCCATCTGTATCTCCACTTCAGACTCACCTAAGAAGTTCAAAGTTGCTGGGAAATCCAACCTTTCATTTAGCATTGCTGAAACACAAATAACAGCTAGTTTCCAATGCAGGCTTTTGTGTCTCACCTAAGTAAAATTTTGAGCCACCAGCAGGCATCCATGACCACTCCTGGCACTTAACTCAGAACTGTCTAAAGCTGCAATACTGCTTGTGTCTAGAAAGAAAAGCTGCGTGAATTCATCACCACAGCATACGTTTTCTAAAGCACTACAGCTCTGCTGAAGATGACTGGGATTTATATCTGGCAATACTGTACCACTCCTTTCAAAGCGCAATCTCTTGGTTTTATAAAGCACTTACTCCATGAAACTAGGAAGAACTGCCTCAACTGAAGCAGTGCAACTTAGTTGTTGAGAGGTCTTTGTGTAAGACATCCAATTTACACATCCAGTCTTTTCATTGTGTGAACACTACAAGTTTTCCATTAGAGATAAATACCAATACACAGCAATTCTAAGCCTGGAGGCATCAGGCTTACTTATCTTCATCACCCAGCAATCTATTCTTGCCTAGCTCTACTTCAGCGTTTCTTCACCCCCTCACGAACACGTACAACACAAGTAGACTGCATGGAACACATCAGGGCAGATTCACATTGTCTAGAACTTTGGGGTACACCTGAGAGCTGTCTAGTAACTAGTGTGCAAACTCAAACTGCCACCCTCAATGATGATACAACAGGTATCTGACTGTCTGATACCTGAAACAAGTAATGCACATTCAGAATGATGTACGGAATCCAGGCATATGCCCTATGCAACATGTAGATACAGCAACAAGCATTCTGTTAACTAGTCAGTCAAAGAAAAGTAAGGATTAAGAAGTCATTTTGTACTTAGCCAGCAAGTAAGTGATTGGGATCCAGTATACAGTGGTCACTGCATGTTCTACCAACATGCCAGTCAGACCTGTGCACACTTAACATCCCAGTTGTCAGGTGTCAAGGTTTCCCAGCTCCTGACAAAACACACAGGAGGGGATCAAGTAAAAGTCATCCAAATACCTACCCAGATCTTCTGATAGTTTCCCCCAGTCACTTCCTAGGGAAAAGCTTACTCTTAAAATACAAAAGAGCTTGTTTAGTTTGTCCACAGCATCAGTGGACATAAGAGGCTGGGCAGGAGGTGCAGAGCAATCTACACATAACTTCTGATCTCACCTGGGTTTCCTCCTTTGCTCTTAGTCAAGTTCTAACACCTGGTCAGGACTTTCTCTATTCACCCAGACCAGTAGTCACAACACCCATCAGCACCATTAAAGCACAGGCTCTACATGCTTCTCCCATGGTCCGCCTTTGCAGAATGCTCCCTGCATGTGACATCTTTCCCCGCTGCAGAAACCCTGCGTGGCTGCCAGACCTACAGGGCTGCAATTCAGAACACTACTCCTCTTGAGAAAGTTAGGCTACAGGGCAACCTCTGAAAATGCTGACAGCAAAAACACATACTTTTCATGAGCCCCTTC